CTTAACTTAGTATGTTGTACGCGTGGCACGCTAGTGCCTATTATGAAAAGGACCCTGCATGGTTCCAAATGCTTCTGAAGGTGCCTTTGTGCTTTATAACTAGCCCATTATTCATGACATATTTATGTACAGTGTATAGTAACGCTTTTTGCACCTGTCTTTCCCACAGGCAGGTTACTACGTAAACATCCTGTAGAAATAATTACAGGTACATCATCTTTTGGCTCAGAAGCTTAGTTGGGTTATATTTAACTAGGACTTGAATGGGTGCTGCATATAAAAAAGAGGTTGGGCTTTGATCACATGAATGTAGATGCCTTCTTGATATTTTAGACCCCCTCTATGGACACCCTTGACCCACTTCCATACTTGATGCACTTCCATACTTCCATAGATGTGTGCATGAAATCCCAGGAGATTTGAAACAGATTTTACCTTTTTTTAGCCCTTCCCAGTCTGGAATAGCCTCAGATGCATGGGTTGGTCGGTCGGTCAGTCTCTCTTTCTCAGCTTAGGATTTTACTTTTTTTACATTGCTTGAATTTATTTGAGGGTAGGACCAATGTATGTATCAATAATGCCCAGACGTACCAGGCTTATGTGAACCATTTTGTGTGTATTAAAAAAAAACTGGTTAGAAGGTGCCCTTGAGCATTTGGCAAAGGTTCAGGAATGATGAACCAGTTAGGCAAAATGTTTAGACTGTTCTGATCAAACAGGTTTAGAAATATTTTCTTTCCCTGTTTCTTTTATCATCACTTTGCTGGAAACTGAGTTTGTACTTTGCAGAGAGGAAGACCATAAACAACAACATGTTTTGTGGTACCTTAAAAGATTTACAAACTTGAATTTTTTGGGGATGGGATTGGTCCGCAGAGAATTATGCTATAATAATAATTGGCACACAAGATTCTTTGGTCTACCTTTCAGATGTGTGGTCGAAACTTTTGTAAAACAGTCTGTTCGGGAAAACTCTCAAGACCATTGACTGCAATCCTTACTACAAGTTTAACAAGTGAAATTTACTCCTGTCACACAAAAGCAGGCATGTTCTCTCTCTCTCCCCCCCCCCCCCCCCCCCCCCCCCTTAGGAAACCCATGCATTTGAGGCTATTCCAGACTGGGAAGGGCTAATTGATACACACACACACATTGTGCAGCAGAAATGCTTGAGGTTATTGAGAATTCCATCGGCAAGCCTACATCTGTTTTTCATTATTTGTGCATTTTGAAAGAAACATCTGCCTCTATTTTACAAGATGAACTGAAAGATAATATGGCCAATGTTATCAGAGAACATGACCAAAGATCTTGACTAGCTCAAAGGACTCATATCAGTCTTGAAATATCTGAGTTTTCTCTGCCCAGGCTTAAAGTTTATGTAACCACTGTTCCCTCTGCCTAGCTTCCCTAAAGTCATCTCTATGGATCTCTACAGGTACATAATTTAGGAGTGCTCTTTAAGTCATTATTGTCACTGGAGGCCCTATTGACTTCTGTGGTTAGGTGTGTCTATTGCTGGCTTTGGCTGGTATGCCAACTATGGTATCCCTTTTTTGGACTACTATAGCTACAGTTCTTTATGTACTGATAAACTCATGTTCAGGTTAGTGTAATATACTTTATGGGGCATGGCAGTTGCATTTGATCCGGAAGTTGCAATGTGGTGGCCAGGTTGCTGCGCTAGCCTCTAGGTAGTTTCTGAATGAGGCCCAGCTTTTGGGTACACCATTAAGACCTTAAATTATTGGGTGTCAATCCTTCAAGGTAGTCCAGACCAGGAAATCAAAGTTATGAATGCTAATACTACTTTTATTATAAGGTTACTGTAACAGAATCTTCCAAGTCAATGTGCCTCTGCCATCCCGTTTCCTTTCAAGAGAACTAGGGAAGGTCAACTCTAAGATACTTTCTCAAATTACATTCCTGCTTTGGACTCAGATTTCTTATCTGACTGTTGTCTTAGTTGTGGCTCTTCTTCCTGCTCCTCGAGGTTATTCTCACAGCCCATTACATCAGGATGAGAATATCTGTCAGATCACGTTTGCCATTTTAGACCTAGTTTGATCACCAAGATTATCAAGGAAGATCCTCCTACATATATTAGGAGTTGCTGGCTATCATTTGCCAGCTGCTTGCAGGTAGACTTTTCTATGGCCACTCCCCACTTTGAAATGCTTTTCCTTCTAAAATTCACCAACTGCCTCCTACATTATTAACTGTCTTTTGGACCAGAGTTGATGAAAAACCAGACCTCCAGACAAGTAATGGTTTTGGTCTTGCTTTTATATCTCTTACTTCATATTACTTCATTCAGCCCACACAATGGCAGGTGGGCTTTTACACATGCATAAAGTACATTTTTTAGGCTGTCTGGTGCATTGCTATTTGTTCTTCCTGGTTTAGCCATGTCAGATCTCACCGGTCATCCCAGTTGTGAGGTTCCACATGGCCTTTTCACAGTAAAGCAAAAACATCTCCTAATTGCCTTCCAAGGGACTTCAGAAACAATACATTTTGTTAACCATAATACATTTAGAGGATAAGGAATGTTGTTAAAACCAGAAGATACTAGGAGGAAAGCAGAGCTCTGGAAATGCAGGGCATTTGAACTATAACTCTCTAGAAAAAAATGATGTTCATTATTACCTCTTTGTTCTTTCAAACTCACCATTGTCTTTATAGTTCTGCCCCATCACCTTATAGCTCCACCTTAATTGCCTCACTAAACACCTGATGTGCTACTATATCCAGCCAAATTCTTTGCAGCTGTATCCGGTTACATGTATATTCTAATTTGCATCTCTCTATAGAAAGATCTATACCTTCACCCCTTTGTAGGCTAGCCTTTCTGCCAAAACAAGACTATTTGTGCTTCAGTGAAACTATGCTGGTCTCCAGTTTTAAACAAATTCTTGGGGAAATTTGTGTGAGAAGTTTTTCCTAGCTGACCTGCTTTGAAGCAACTCACTTAGTTGGTGGTGGAGCAGAAGAGTCCCCTTGTGCCACGTGGTTCACAAGAACTTTTTCATTAAATGCAGTTCTTTCATGATCTCAGTGGAGGTGTCTCTCGATTCTTCCACTGGACTCTCACCTGAAGCCGTAATCTTGATAAAGTAGAAGATAAGTGCCTGAAGAATCATATGGATTAATAAATAACATTCATTACATGTTCTAAAGTCTGACTTAATGGTGTGGAGATGGGAAATATAACTATTTCATTTCAATGCACAAGCTAATGTAGTCAACAGAGAAGTAACAACAACAGAGTAAAATAAAAAATTTCTGCCTCCCCGTTTGTCATCCATGCCTGAAGGAAAACTTCAAAATTTATCATAAATGTTTAAAAAACAAGGCCAAAAGAAGAGAGGCACGCTTTGTTTCATTTCACTGATTTTTATTGTATTTTTTTCTGAAAGATGATTGCAGATAAAAGGCTTATTTTATTTTTGAAAAATGAGGATCATATCAATGATTATTAAATTCCCTGAGTGATTTGCATTGCAAATACATTTATATGTATTAATCTCTATTGATCTGGACAAACGAGAAACTGTTTGCTTTGCTAGTTTTTGTAAGGATTCCACAACTTAATAAATAAATTACAGCTGTTCCTAACACAGCACCTAAGGTCACACACCATACTAAATCATGGTTCGCATGAGCATGTTTTACTGAATAAAATGCAACATATTTTCACTGAAAATATGCTACAACATCAGCAAAGAAATCACATCAAGTTTTAATTAGTACATTAAGCAACCAAAAACCATATACATTTTGCAAACAATATAAACATAAAACATTTATCTAGGAGGCATGTTTTATGCACATACACTATATAGCAGGAAGTTACATTTCTGGTGAAAATCATTCCAAAGTTACCCCAAAAATCTGTGCGTGGAAGGAGGCTCTAATAAATCAATAACCCCCAAATCCTTATGAAAATGGTAAATAGAATTTTATTACAATCAGAGATCAGGAACAAACCAAATAGAAAAGTCAAATGTAAGAAGTTAGATATCAAAAATATAAAAATTGCCTAAGGAGAACGATATAAAGGTATTAGTTAAGTGAGCTCCAAGTTTACCAATAGTAACGACTGCTACAAAAAACTTTGCAAAGTTATATGTAACAAAAGGTTTCTTGGTTGGTAAAAAAAGTTAACCCTGTATTATGATGTTTCTTTACACACAGTAGCTTCTACACTTAACAAACTTATATTAAATCACTTAAACTTTCCACACATCCCAATTTTCATTTTGTCATTTATAAAACAGATAAAATCCTGCCATGAATTTATCAGAGACCTTCTCAGAAAAGGCAATTGATTAAATCTTATCAAACCATTTTTCAAGCAAGATCCAGAGATTTCCACTGCTGAACAACAAGTGTCTTTGTTGATAAATGCAGATAATCAATAATATTGATGGTAATTGAATGTCATTTTCTTTTTAATTTTGGACTATTGTTTCTGAGGTCTAATCATCTCTCTTATCGAAAGAGTTGACAGAAAGGTAGATTGTGATCTGGTTGACGATCCACCTTTTCATGTAACTAATAAGGAATAGTACCTTTTCAAAGCAGTCAGTATGATCATGAGAATTACAAATACCTGTGCTTAAGAATGCCCCTCAAATCTTTAGTTTTTTAATCATGTAATTAAAACTGCCTCTATTAAAGGCACTGTTATAAGCTCAAGGTCAAGAAATAAGGTGTATAAAAATATTATTTTACTAAAAAAAAGCCCAGTTTCCAAAGTGAACAGAAGGCTTGCTTTAAAAAGACAGTTGCAAAAAAAGTTTGTTAGAAATAACTTTAAACCAGTAAAGGTTTTCCCTCAGGACAATACAGCCTTTTACAGAGCAGTCATTCAGTGAAGCCAAGGCCTTCACACTGACATTAGAGAAACTTTCCAATTTATGCCAATAAGTATTTGAATCAAAAAGAACAAATAATCTTGTGGCACTTTAAGGACTAGCAAATTTATTACAGCCTGAATTTCCACTCACTGAATCTTGTAAATTTACAAGATACAACTTTATCTTTAGTGCAGGTTATTGCTCCATATGATGGTAGAATGGTAGAAATGAAAAAAAGAAAACAGAGTTAACCTGTACTAAAACTTTATGACATACTACCTCAAGGTCCACTTCCTTTAAAAGACATGTGGAAACATCTCACCAACTTCTCTGGGTGGGGAAGCAAACAGGCACGGCCCTGGTTAGTGCTCTGAAGGTCAATACCAGGGCTATAAATTAGATTGGGAAGTTGAGAATCATCCTGAAAGACAGCTATGAATTTTTGCTATAAAAAAAAAATGAGAATGTGTCATCAGAAATGACGCTCTAGTCAAGGGAGATTTTACTTAACGCTCCTTTCATTTCCAGCCTCATCCAGCAAATGATTTCAAAATTCACATCTGTTTGCAACTTGTCTACTTTGTATTTCTCTTCCCATCACAGCATTTTCAATTTTACAGAATTCCAGAATCTTGATGAATCATTGAACAATAGAGACGTCAAGTACTAATGCAAACGCAAAGAAATGAAAATAAAGGAGTTCCTACCCATCCCTAATCAGAAGTCCTCTTACATGAAATTTACTGATAGGTAAGACTGTGTAGCACTGTGGAATTTATACCATGTGAGCAAATCTGATTTAGCTGAGATTGTACCTATCTTTTCCCCCATGGAGGACAGGAAAATTGCACAATGCCAAAAAAACATAGAAACTCTTGGAAAACCAGTGAAGCTGTTTGCATCATGTTTTCCTACCACATCTCTCTTTACTTTTCTTCTGGGTGCAAATACATTCATTTTTAGTGAAAGAAATCCTTCATATGCTCCAAATAGATGTTTTTATGGAATACCATTTTTCCCCTATGTAATTCATGTCTATGGGGGATCTAGCTGAAGAATCACAGATTAAGGACATTTTGAGACTGTTGCAACTTAAGACCCACAGACAGAAGCTTCTCTGAGTCTGCTGCAATTAAAAACTGTGAAAGCAGATTGACTGCCCGCACATGCTAAGTACACCAGCTTCAATATCAGCTTATGTGCAGCTAATACAGTCCAAGTGTTGACATCCCTAAACAAAGTATTTTTTCTTAATGGATTCTGCATGAGAAAAGTCATTGGGTAAAAGCCCTCCAATGTCAGTGGACAAAAATCTACTAGTACTGTTTTGCTAACTCTCATTGAACAAATAATACAATACTACAAAATGTCAGTGCTACAGTGAGTGGTTCATATACTGTTTTAGTTCTCAGTATATTCTATTCCAGGACAAAAGATCCTATAGTATAAATTGTTTTGGAGAAAAAAATAACAACTTCCTCTTTGGAAACATTGGCTCCCAAATTGGCTGTTTTCAAGACATCTGGAAAAATCATCTATAAGGCACATGGCAAACCCGAGGATTAATTTTTTTAAAAAAGTGCTCTGATCAAATAGCACCACTTTTTCCTAATCACTTTCCCGATGCATTTTTAATCAGCTAGAGATGGTTTTGCCAACTAGCTAACCAATAATCTAATTCTTCCCTATGTGTCAACATTTGGACTATACCATCCCGTGTGTGGAAACTGTGCAAGACACATCAATGGTCAGACTTAGGAAGCCATTTTGCCTATGAGTTTTTAATAAAGCACAGCTGTAATCAGCATTAGTGACCCGTAAAATGTTAGCATGTAGTAAAACAATTTGGTGAAGATATTTCATCCTGACATTCTCTATCTTGACAAACGGATCTGTTTTTTCTGGTTCATCCCAGCAATAAAAGTTTTTTTTAAAATATGGGTAAAACAAACTGAGAACAAGTCAGAATTTCACACCATCTGACTTTTCTCAATGTAAGGCATCACATCACCAAGCCTGTAGTGAGTCATCATAGATCATCTTCTTCAGATTGTACATACATGGGAAAAAAAGTCTCATTTTTTAAATGTTCTCCACTTTAAAAATTCTACTGATGTAAAAACAGGCACATTAGTGAGAATTGGGCTCAAGTGCACGTATTAGTTAGGATCCTGGATACAAGAAAATGTTAACATATATGGAGGCCTACAAATGCTAGTGCTTCAGCTTGATGAACAACCATATCTACCGTACAGGAGAGACAACAAAAGTCCACACACTCACACACTATGGTGACTCTCCCCATGATGATTAAACCAAGCAATCTCAACTTATCAATTGGCTCTCCACAAAAAAACTAAAATAAAATATTCTTGTGCGTTGGATGGGTAAATGCATCAACCCAACCATCCTGCATGGAAGCTCAGCCAATCCCACGAAGTCAACTTTCAAACCAGCTGGCGAGGTTCTGGACAGTCTTGGACTGTTTTCCCAGAGCCCTGACTGTATTACAAACCTTGCAAGAGTGTTCGAGCCAGAATGAAGACACCCGCACTTCATACTGTTTCCTCCAGGCAAAATATTTTCTGTACATGTTCTTGTTTTTATCTAGGAATTTTAGGTAAACGGCCAGCTCCATGGGGTCAGAGAAGTCATTGACATGAATGAAGGAGTCGGAGGGGACAAACCGTTCATAGTTGGCCCTAGGAGGGCCCAAGACGACGGGGACAGCCCAAGATCCAAAGGCGTTCCTCCAGAGTTTCTCCGTGATGTAGTCCTGATGCTGGGAATTTTCAAAGGCCAAGTAAAACTTGTACTCTGAAACTGTCTTGACCACATTACCGTCTTTGAGTGCCAGTCCATGACCCCCATAAATATCAATGGGGAGATATTTTTTCAGCTGGTGGTAATAACGGACCCGGGCGTGACCCTCATTCCAGTTACTGATGACCCACGCCACCAGCTTGGTCTTCTTGGGCAAGGTGAACTGGATAAGGGGCTCTGGGAGCAGCTTGAGATACCCATAGGGCACAAAGACATCAGAGTCCACTTTGTAGGACATGGTCCAGTTGAAAAGGCCAGTCAGCCCTCGCAGGCCCGTTGTGTGGGTGGGCGATTCGAAGTTCATCCAGACCCACCGCTGGCCTGGCGGCCTTTGCTGGGGCATCTGGCTGATGCCATGCCGCAGGAGCTCCCGGTGATGGAAGATGACGGCGTGCGCGCCCAGCTGGTGGCTGCGATTGGTGGAGACTTTGCAGGCGCTGATGTTGAAAAGCTGCCCGCAGTCCCCTAAGTTCCAGATGTGCCCGAAGGGCACCCACCACATCACCACCGACACCGGCTCCGGGTCCTCCGCCC